ATATTTTATATATAATATTATCAATAATATAAAGAGCAAATTTGGTAGCAAATAGCAATTTCTATTTTTATTTATGCGCTTCATAGAATAGTAGTATATATAATATATGAAAAATAGAGTGTCAATCGGATATCTGTGGGTTAATCAAACGAACGATTAGTCTCAACTAATCTTTAGCCAATAACGCGATCATTGAACTTAATGGTGATGTCAGTTTTGGCCATGTTGCTGAAGGCGCCCACAAGCTCATTCAGCGTATCGTTGGGCAGACGCCTGTCGAAGGGGAAGCCCATGGTGCGTTTGTCCGGATACAGTTTGTCCTTGAGGCCGCAGAATGAGTAGGCCGTGCTGCAGGCATCGTTTGGCGTGCTGTGGGTTGTACAATATTCGTTTTGGTAATTGCTCTTGATGGCTGTATGTGTGTGTGTGTGTGTGTTTGGTTTACTCACTTGCTTAGCTGCTGCACCGCATCCTGGGTGTAGTCCGAAATCATGACAAACAAATCGAATTGCATGCCCTCGGGCTTGCCCTTGGGCAGCAGCAGATGCTGCGGCCATCCACAGCCACAGAAACGGAAACGTGCCAGGTCATCCGCTGCGGTTGGCTGATAGCTGGCCCCAACGGCACGGAACGAACGCTCAAATGGTATGGCCACCGAGGAATCTGTCGATTCACGACGTATGGTATTCTCACCGGGCATCACTAAGAAGTCAAATTTATTATAGTTGAGATTAATGTGTAGAGTGTATTGATTATAGAGAGTATAGAGTATAAAGGCTAGAGAGCCTAGAAAGTCTAGAGAGTTTAGAGAGTCTAGAGAGTCTAGACTATAGAGAGCTTAGAGTATACATTATAGAGAGTATACAGTATAGAGTCTAGAGAGATTAGAGAGTTTAGAGTCTAAAGACTTTAGATTATAGAGAGTCTAAAGTGTATAGATTATAGAGAGTATAGAGTCTATAGAGTCCATGGAGTCTATGGAGTCAATAGAGTCCGTAGAGTCCATAGAGTGTATAGAGTCTACAGAGTCTATAGAGTCTACAGAGTCTACAGAGTCTATAGAGTCTACAGAGTCTTTAGAGTCTAAAGAATCACAGAGTCTACGCAGTCTAGAGGGTCTACAGAATCTACAAAGTGCACAGAGTCTACAGAGTATAGAGTATATAGAATAGTATTAAAAATATTGCTTCACTTACATTCCACTGTAAATTTATCCATTTCAATGGCCAACAAGCGTTGCTCCTCGAGACGCAACGGCTGGTTGCGTTCATCGGTCTTGGGGCAGATGAAGATGCGGCAAGTGCCGGAGCGCCTGGGACCCGAATTGGTCACGTTGAACGTGTAGGTGTAGGGTGCGTTCTGTAGATGCCTAAATGTGGCCGTAATGTTCTCATCCTCAACGGGTCCAAAGTCCAAGCCGGCGGCCAAATTGGCTGAAGATCTTTGCCAATAGGTGAGCAGAGTATTTGGACGGGCATTAGCGGCGCCCAAGCGTGCCTCCACATAGGTCACATTGATGCCCTCAAAGCCCAATTGGGTGTTATTATAGACGGGCAATAAGGTCTTGTGCTTGTTGAAAATGGTATCGATGAATCCGTGCCATCTATAGAAAATGGGATCACGCATAGCCGTCGTCACGTCGCCCATTACGCCAAAGTCCTCCAAGTGCCTGTAATCGGGATCATGGGCGAAGGAGATGATGGTGTGGCCCTGATTATGCAAATTGCCATAGAACTGGTTGTTCACGGAGAGTGTGTTGCACGCCTCGATGATGTTGCCCAGTATATCAATGCCTCGCACTTCGTCCAGGGGAATGCGATTGCCTTGCGTCTGTAATGGGGAAAGGTTATTCATATCGAATTCCGAAATTGTCTCCTCAATTACTCACATCCTCAACGTAGCCTTGGTCAATGGCGGCAAGAATACGATCGCGCCAACGCTCCAGCTCGGAAATCTCAATGTTGCCATCGGGACGAGCGACATCGCTAAGCTGCTGCTTGGAGATGCGTGCCGGATAGGTGCGATTGTTGATGCTCGAGAGAATCTTGGGGAAATAGCCCTCGGGTATTTCCTCGCGTAGATTAGAGAGCGGTATGGTGCGCTTCAGACGGTTGCAGAACCGCTCGACATTGTAGCGTGCGAGCAGTTGATGATGCATGTAGTAGAAGAGCTCGCCGCGACGATCCTTGTTGACAATCTCCATGGGCCCGCTGGCCGGATAGACCAAATGCCAATGCCAGTGATGGCTATTGACGCCAATATCCTCACGGAAATAGGCCAAATGCTGCTCATCCTCGCGATCCGAGGCCGTATAATTGGCGGGTATCTCCAAAACGGTACGATTACCGCTCTTGGCAATCACCGAAGCCTCCTGGCGGGCATCCTGTCCAGAAAATAGAAGAAATAAAACATATCATATGCTGTTACTATAGGAAGTACTTGAATCTAGCTCACCTGGAAGACGGAAGGCTCAATAAAGTTGCTGGGGAAGACCTGCGAAATGTTGGGAATGGGCACAGTGCGCGTGTCCGGGCGATGGGCAATGGCCACCGCGTAGCTGTACTGGAAGAGCACAGGATTGACGCGATCCCTGTGAAATGGAGATAATATATGGACTAAGTTAATGAGACTCAATTCAGATTATAGTTGAATGAATCGCTTACTTAGTATAGGCAGCCAGTGCCACGAACTGCTGCAAATTGGGCGCATCCAGGAACAGTTGAATCAGCTGGCTGGCAATTTCCTTATGCTTGTTGATGAAGAGCGAGAACTGCTGCTTGCGGCCCAGCTTGCTGGCGAATTCAAGATTTGGCTTTCTAGCCACTTCTCGAATGGGAATGCGCGTCTCCACATTCTGGCTAAAACGATTCGAGACCTCCTCGGTGTTGTTGCGATAGCGATCCGTGTAGACGCTTTCAGGCAGATCGAAGACGGTCTTGCCATTGTCACGTGTGGTGAACACCGGCTCCAAAGGACGTTGGAACAACAATTCCAAGGCTTTCAAATCGGTATTCATATTGAGAGAGAAGAGTATTGAATTCACCAAATTCAGTTACTAGAAATAGTTCTGCTCCACACAAGCTAAGCCAGCGCACTGTGATTTCCGTTGGCGACGACTCGACTTTTTATAGCTCCTCGTAGGTTAAGTGTAAAGCTGAGAATTTTGATTTGTTTTCTTTTATAATTGGTTTGATAATTTCTTATGGTAATTGTGGTTATTTTTATTTTAATAACTATATGTCTGTTATTTTAGGCAGCCGCAAGCATTATCAAAGAGCAGTTATCATTTAGTTTCCTGTTTTAGTAATAGAAGAAGAAATTTGCATTTGCATTGCGGTTTCCATTTTTCCCAAGCAGGCATACGCGTTGCTTATCAGTATTAAGGGGCGCGTCTTTTATATATATTTTTCAGATTTGCTTACGGCGCTGTGTGTTTTGATAATGATAAATATTTGTTGAGTATTTTTTTTTTCATATCTCCAAATTATTTGTTGATCATTTTTTTTTCATATCTCTAAATTAGTTTTGTGGTTTCTAAAACACTTGTTGTTATTGAAAATGTTTTATAAAATATAAAAAACTTCAAAACTAAAGATTAAAAATATTTTATTAAATAATAAAAAATGGAAAAACTGAATTTTAAAAATATTTTATTTCTTTAACTGCGTTGAATAATTGTTTGCTACAACTTTTAAATATATAGGTATTATTGAAATATGCTTTAGGTCTTATATTCAAACTCTTAAACTTGTATTTAAATCCTCTTTTAAATTTTACATTTCTGCTACGCAAATTTGGGCAAACATTTTATAAAGAAATTCATAAATTTGTTTTACTTTATATCACGATAAATTGGGCAAGATATTTTTTTATTTTCTACCAAAATTATTTCTGCTGTGCAACCCATTTGAACTTTTAAAGAGTAACATTATCTTTTATAAAAAAAAAAAACAAAAAATTGGCCCAAAAATGTATGAAACTGCCCCAAGGCAAATATTATGGTTATGTTCGCCTTTGTTGTTCCCATGTTTGGCCAATGCTACAGTATGGCAAGAGACCCTGTTTCAGGCCCTGCGGCTAGTTAAATAAATTGGGCAACATATGTATTCGCAGCAGGACTTTCAGCTGGCACACATAACTCACGCATAAATGAGTGTGTCTCTGGAGCTAGGACTGAGTCCGAGTCTGAGTCGGAGTCGGAGTCGGAGTCGGATTCCGTGAGTGCAGAGCCATAAATTTATGCATAATGCGTAACTAACTTGCACAGTCCTTATAGGACTGTTCGGCTGAACAACTTTTGGCGATTAAAACATTTGCGCAAATCAATTTTTGCCGCCTTCGTGACCAGAGCGAAAACTTTTGCCATTGTCAATAATAAATGTGAGTGCCAGGCGCTGTTGCTGTTGCTGTTGCTGGCATTGAAGTTGGCCAGCCAAGGCGATCAAATGGGTGCGCATTAATCTGTGAAATTGACAGCAACACCAACTACAATAACAACAACAACAACAAGAACTAACACTGCATTGAGACTTGCGGCAATGCTGTGGCAAACGAACACAGTGGGTCGATTGAGTTTTTAGGCAAATAGAAATAGTTGATATTCAATTAAATTGTAAATTTATATTCCTTATTTGCTATATGTAAAATTAAATTAATTAATAAATATAAGGATTTGACGACTTTTTTTTGTAAAGATAAAAATCTTTCTTTATTTTCGTATC